ATAAATAAAAAAATAAAATAAATATTTAAAAATAAAATAAATATTTTTATTTATTTTATTTTTAAATATTTATTTTATTTTTTTATTTATTTTTTTGTGTTTTCCAACGGTTATTCCAACGGATCGCCGTTGGAAATAATTTTAAATTCCAACGGACGGCCGTTGTAAATACCGTTGTAACATTTCGACGGCGTTTCCAACGGATATTCTAACGGATATCCGTGGCAAATACCGTTGTAAATCCGTTGGAAAATTTCTAACGGATATTCTAACGGTCCTGTCGGAAAATAGCCACGGATGTCCGTTGGAATTTCCGTTGATATATCCCGACGAACAAATCCATTGGAATTCCGTTGAAAATATACCACGGAAAAACCGTTGGAAATCCGTTGAAATATTCCAACGGATGAGGGCGTTGGAATTCCGTTTGGAATTTGCCACGGAATTCCAACGGACACCGATTTCTAACGACGAAATTCCAACGGATATATCCGTTGGAAATCCGTTGGAAAAGTTGAATTCCAACGGATTTTCGGGTCTTTCCAACGGATTTGCCGGTTGGAATTTGGGGTTTTTTTTGTAGTGTAATGTCGTCTAGAGTGTAACCCAAGGTCTGTCTATACTCTCTAAGCAATGCAACTAATTCAGCTAGTTCCACATCAGTCAATGCAGCATTCACAATTATCGGGTAAGTAGAGTTAGGTCCGAGAAATTCATACCTAAGCCCTTGTGGTAAGGGTTTCAATTCCACCTTAGGCGCGCTCTTTGGATCCCAATCTTTCTTCCCGCTCGTCTCCACGTCGGGCTGCTTGACTTGAATGGAGGAGACCGGAGCTTAATGACTTGGAGAAGTTGATGGCTCCTCTCCGTTTTTCTCGTCCCTTAGCCAAGGGAATTCGCAAGCAGAACAAGATGAGGGCTCAATGGCCCTGTATTTCCAGCCCTCTAGCTCAATCGATGAGCTGTCATCTAAAGTCCGAACAATGCTTCGGACTTCCTCCCAATCGCAGTACATGCTGTCTTGTACCGCGTTCAATGCCATCTCGAGGGGGTCTGACTCTCTATATTCATCCCTCACTTCGTCGACCAGTGTGTCGATCAAGTCCAGGTAGAAGGAAGACTCTACCAAATGCGGCTGCTTAAGATTTTGATCAAGCCTGAATTCAACCGTCTCATCCCCGATCTTCATCGTGAGTCTCCCTTCTCTGACATGCACTACAGCATCAGTCGTGTTCAGAAACGGCCTACCAAGTATGGTGGGGATTTTAGAATCCTCCGGCATGTCCAGAACTACAAAGTCGACGGGGACATAGAATTCCCCTACCTTCAGAGGCACATCTTCCAAGATCCCAGCGGGATACTTCACTGATCGGTCGGCCAATTGCAGTGCCATCCTCGTCGGTTTCAGCTCACCAACATTAAGTTTCTTAAATATGGAGAGAGGTAGCAAACTGACACTTGCGCCCAAATCGCAAAGCGCCCTCTCAATCTCCACATTTCCCAATCTGCACGGGATGGAGAAGCTACCGGGATCAGCCATCTTCTGCGGTAACTCCGTCTGCAATATGGTTGCACTCACTTCTGTGCTAAGTGCAACTGTCTCCTTCTTAACCGTCCTCTTCTTCGTAAGAATATCCTTCAGAAATTTGGTGTAGGACGGGATTTGAAGTACTACCTCGTGAAACGGCATGGTCACTTCTAGTTTCTTCAACATCTCTGTAAATTTGGCGAATTGGCTGTCTTCATTAAACTTCCTCGCCCGAGATGGAAATGGTAGAGGGGGTGCCTGTGGAGGAGGCGGAATGTACCTCGCCTCTTCCCCCTCTACAACATGGCCCTTGCCTTTATCTAAGGCAGCCCTCTGTGGTTCGTGTGAACCTTCTCCCTCTTCTCTGACAACTGGGGAGGTCTCCGGAAGCTGTCTTCCGCTTCTCAGGCCTATGGCATTGATATGCTCTCTCGGGTTAGGATCAGCCTTACCCGGAAATTGGCCTTGAGGTCTCGTTGCCTGGGAAGCAAGCTGAGCAATCTGATTGTCCATCATCTTGATATGTGAATCCAACCCATCCAATCTCTGCTCGAAGCTCTCTTGCTTCCCTTTGAATCCTTGCATCTCTTGACCCAAGCTAGAAAACGAGTTTTTCTGATCGTGCATTAGCTGGGCTAACATCGACTTTAACTCTGACTCCTCTTCCTTAGC